CTCGCCGTCAAAAATTAAAATAAGATTAGATCTCTGTTCTTTGCACGCAAAACAATAAATCGTTATGTGTCATAACATGAAGCGTTGAATAGGGCACGTGACTTCACGACCAGTGTCTCTACTGATTGAAGTTGCAGTCGGGCTCAGTGTGAATTAAACGTGCGCTTCAGATGCGTCCAAAACACTCAATATGAGGCACTGAACGGCCCTTCGCTTAACAGAGTGCCCAATCAACTCGTAATAGTGTTTCAGCGGAAAACAGTTATCGATTGCCCCCTTAAACTCCGAGAGGTCGCATCACTCCGACCACCATCCAATCATCCGTTACTTGTTCATTTAAACATTTCTGTGAGTAAACGCGCACGGATCTCGCTCGGGCAATGATAATCCATCATTCAAACTTTAAAAGTAGAGAAACAGAAAAAAAGCATCTTTCCCCTCACCTCACTTTTCGCACAGTCGCTCACTCAAGTCTGAGTCCTTTTGTGTAGAGCCACGCTTATGTCCCTATTCCAGTTGTTGGCTAGCTGTCGCGGAACATTTGCCTTTTAACGTTAGTTACCAGTCCGAATAGCAGTTCACTACCTGGCTTGCTTGCTTTCTCTCCTATTCAAACTTATAAAGCGACAAACAAGTGTTGTAAAACACCAGCACTACGCACGTTTGTTAATATACAACTACATTAAAGCTTCTGTGGATATTCGCACGTTTCTCATTCTCTCCAGTTCGTTGCATTACTAGGGATCCTATCCGTGTGTAAATGCCGGGGAGACCTGACGACTCCTCACAACCGAGAAAACGTTCCGCGCTGTTCGCCTCTCCCCAACTAACTTCCATGTTAATTACACAGTCACTTTAACCGGCGTCAAATTCATAACAAGTGATTCTGACAATGTAAAGGCTCGTTTCATGCGAGTCAGTGTAACGCTCGCATTCCACATATGCGCAATATTAAAAACAAAAACGTTAAATGAAACCCTCCCATCACAAAAGACGTTATTCAGCCGTTAAATGCGGCTACATTTAGATTTAAACACATATTTAGAGCATCTCGTACAGTTCTCTTCATGAAACCAACTTAATAGCGATCCATTACTTTGTGCTTTACCTGCGGTGCTCCCACCTTAAATCAAACGGAACTACTTCCTGCTGTGTGTGCGGAGGGATTCGTCAGCTGTGCAATGCAGTGCTGAGGCTGCCCAGACCCTTCACTAATGTATGCAGGAGAGAAAAAAAGACTAGAACTTGCTTATTTACCATAATATTGAGTATTTAATGATGGATATCGTGAATTAGGCTTCAGCTATAGTTATTTTACCATATTCAGTTGATAAAATGTAATTGAGTCTTAAAGAAATCAATACATTCACACTGTGTAAACCATGGTTTCTGGTCTACATTAATTAAACATAATCTGGAGGTATTACAGGTGAGAATAAACTTGATATCTAGACACAATCCTAATACTGACATAAAAGGATTAAAGCCTCGATTCAGACTGGTCTCCAACACCCCCTCCTGACACTATCAAACAGCAGGCCCAAGTGATGGACAGGTCCTCCCTTGGATGCCTGTATAACATTGATAATCTTTCTCAGTGGTCCTTGCAGGCAAGAACAGAGACAGACATACCAGCACTTGTGGCACAAGACCCCTCCCAGCCATCCCCTCTCTGTCTGTGTGTTTCTCTCTCCAACCATCTCCTCCCTCCCCTCCTTCGTGCCATCTTAGAGAAAGAGTTTTTTTTTTTTCAGGAGTAACAATCTCTACTCGAAACCACAGGCCTGAAGGTGTAGCTGAGTCTGTCCCCATTTTCTTTAGCAATACCATGGATGGCACAAACTTTTGTTGTCGTGCTAGATTTGCATGGCCTTTTAGGCCGGGTTTTGTTTATTTATAAACCCTGTAACAACAGTTATAATCACTCCATCATAGACTAGTTATCGAACATGCATCAAGGTTCAGTGTGAGTTGTAGCGCAGAGGAAGCGGAGATTTTAACAGCGCTGAACTCTCTGACCCTCTCCCTTGTTTCCCCTCCTAAAAATGCCATCTCTCCCCGTCGCGAGACAGATTACCAGAAAACAAAAGGTTCGGGGCTTCGTGACGGGCCATCTGCGGGAGGGGCGTGGCCCGGGAATATACAGTAGCGCTCGTTGCATTCAACACATGGATAGCCCCTTTAAGTTATGGGGGCTTCGTGACGGGCCATCTGCGGGAGGGGCGTGGCCCGGGAATGTACAGTAGCGCTCGTTGCATTCAACACATGGATAGCCCCTTTAAGTTATGACTGTAACTTCTTTATAATGGTCAGAAGCAGTGGGTGTTAAACGAGGAATTCTGTCAAAAGCGTCCTAGATGTGAGGTTCTAACCGTTCTACGTATTGTAGTTAAGTACCACTGGCGTTTAGATGCGCACTCGATGCAGTTCAAACCATGCGATCATCATCTGACATACAGTAGCAGTTCCTACACAGTAGCACCTAAAGTTGCTGTCCTGTCAACTAGTGCAACCTCGTGGACAAAAGAGGTACTGCAGGGCCATTCTAGGCCTCTGATTTTTCATTCCCTCAAACATTTTTAAAAGTGGTCATTCACCCAAACAGACATCTCCATTAAAATTAATTTAAATAATATTGCATTAATTAAATATGTACATAAAAATATGATACAAAGCGTTTTGTCATGTCAATTGTGCACATAATTTAGAATTGAATAGTTTATTTGCAAAAACAGTTAACTCTGTTTTTATTCATTCTCATAAATCATGTTTTTTATTGTGTTAGCATGTTATTATTGTGTTAGCTAGCTGTATTTTTTTGTTATTATTATATTTAATCAAAACAACCCAACTGCAGTTTGATTGATATTAACTGGAATGCAGGATAAAAAAAAGCATGATTTTTGAACATTTTTAAAAACTGAGTTATCTGTGTTTGCAAATTAACTCTTCAATTGTAGTTATTAATACGAACATCTGTTTGCATTCATTTTTTAACATTCTATTTGTTCTTTTTGATTACATTTGTTACAATTACGAAAAAGGTATATAATACACACAAAAAGGCAATTTACTAACATTAACACAATAAAACAGCACAAACAAGGATTTATATTTTTTCTACGTTTGTAAGTCAGTTTGAATTAAAAAAAATGCAAATATATATATATATATATATTGGAAAAATTATACATGGAATGTATTCACTAGCTACTATTCAGCTCAAGACAGTGAAGATAAAAAATAAAACAAAACATTTTAATATAATATGTATGCACAGTATTAAACTTAAATTAAAATTACATTTCATTTTCGATTACAGTGTATTTTAATTAAGTAATTGAACTTTATTTGGACAGTATCCTCTATAATCAGTAGGGCTGTGAATCTTTGGGTAGACAGCGTTTCGATTCGATTCACGATTCAAAGGTTTTCTATTCGATTCAAGAACGATTTTTGCAAATTTAGAACGATTCAATTAGATTCGATTCGCAATTAAATTAGATTCGATTATAACGATTCGATTCTGCATTCTTTAAGTGCATTCACAGGATTATTTAAATGCTTCCGCTAAATTCTTTAAATGCTTAGTCAGGGGACAAATTACACAGCAGCCTTTATGGTTAGAGAACCATAGGTTAGAGAAAAAAACAACACTTTTGTCCATTGTTAGATGCTAGTTTAATGATGCTATGGCATGACATGGCATACATAAAAATTGATGTAAGCCAAGATTTAAAAAAAAAAGAGCTTTATTATTTAAATGCTTCCCCTAAATTCTTTAAATGCTTAGTCAGGGGGCAAATTACACAGCAGCCTTTATGGTTAGAGAACCATAGGTTACAGAAAAAAAAAAACACTTTTGTCCATTGTTAGATGCTAGTTTAATGATGCTATGGCATGACATGGCATTTGTAGAAATTTATGTAAGCCAAGATTTAAAAAAAAAAGAGCTTTAAAAGTATTATGTATAGGCTAACATTTTGTCACACCAGGGGCGTAGCCACCATTTCAGAAGTGACAGAAATGTCAAATACAATAATTTTATGTATGTATGTATTATTATAATTATTTTTTACAATGAATTATTTTCTTATCTACACCTAGGATGACTTGAGGGTGAGTAATTTATGGGCTAATTTTCATTTTTGGGTTAACTAACCCTTTAAGGGTCAAAAGGCTCTGCCTCCATAAGGCTTGTGTCAAGCCATTCATTCATCTGGCTGTTTGATGAAGAGAAAGAGATAAAATGTAGTAGAAATAAACATGTTAAGAATCAATAGAAGTGGAGGATTCTTACTGTGTTTTTTTAAGGACTATTATTATGTTGTAATGTTTGGTTGACCAATCAGCGGAGAGGGGCGTTTCATTCCCGCCCACAGGTAGAGATCGAATATTCAAGTTGCTTATTCGTTTTCTATCCTTGAACGTAAAAACGAAAAATGAAGCCGGATTCTTTATTTTTCGTGTTGTTTGAACAATTGAAAAACGAAATATGTGTGGAAAAATTAATAAACAGCTTGAATATTTGATTTCTACACGTGGGTGGGAATTAGACGCCCCTTGCTGCTGATTGGTCAGCTCACGTGTAGAAATCGAATATTCAAGCTGTTTATTCATTTTTCCACCCATGAACGAAAAACGAACATTTAAGCTGAATTTTAGTTTTTTGGAAAAAAAAAAACAAACAAAAAGGAGCCATTTTCTAATTTTTCTACTTTCAATATTAAATCAAAAAACGAATGATCGAATGATACACGGATTGTTCCGTTTATCATTTTTCAGATTTCAATATTAAATTAAAAAACGATTGGACGGAAGATACCCTGATGCTCTATCCCCCAATTTTTGAAATAATGTTACAAATTCAGTTTGCAAAAGGAAACCAGAAACTCAAAGAAAACTGCCTTTAGTATCAATTACTCGTCATTTACATAAATATGTAGGTCACAAAGTACTCTCAACGTGAGGAAGCATGTGGAGAGAGCTTGACCCTTAACCCCAAACCCTATGTCGTCATTTCCCCAAGACTCGGCGGCTGAGAGGGAAAGAAAGAGTGAAGAGTGAAGAGTGGGAGGGAGGAAGGAAAGGAGAAGGAGATAAAGAAAGGGAGAATCGAGCGCGGAAATTTCGTGCCCGCTTCTTGGCGCGAATCTGGCAGGAAAAAATAAAAGCGAAAAGCGGTCGCTAGGTGCTTTACAGATTACTGTTTTTAAACGACCAACCCTCGAGCTCTTGTGTTACTGTAGACTAACGTTAGCTCGCTCGTTAGCATTTTTAACATTCTTAACCACAGACCACATCTCATCTTCAGATCTCTTAACTTCTTTAAAGCGTTTTAGAGTGCAGTAGTCGCGTCAAGGTGGTCGTATAAAATCTGCACAATGGGGGTGAGTTTGTCTGTCCATGTTGTATGTTGTTAGCTTTGCTCTTATTTGGGCTTTGATAAATGCGTGCGGCAATTTGAACAAAGACTGATGGAAGCAAATAATTCTCCCCGGAAAGAGTGTGTAATGTGTGTGTGTGATGGAGGTAAACGCGGAACTCATGAATAACGAGGGGGTGGTGGTGAGATTTTGGTGGTTTAAAGATGCTCAGGTCCTGAATGGATTCTTGTAGTGTCCATCCGTGTTACACAAATGTCCACCTCAAACGCTTTCTGGTTCATTTCAGGTGCCTCGTCGACTGCGCCAGTTCTTTAACACTAAGCACAATAACACTGATACATTTAACACGGCAAACTGTTGCTGTTTTCGTCAGACTGCCTGTATTGTCCTTTTCCAGCAGTCGATGCATTAAAGTCATACGAGGAGCAGGTGAGATATGAGTGTAATGTGTAAAACCATTTCTTTGAGCTCCTCATACAGGCTTTTAATTAGCACGATGCCAGCAGCCACTGCGAGATCAAACCTCCTCTCGACAGCATCATTGCTTGGTCGAGTTTGAATGATAGGTTTATGTCTGGCATTAGTGAACTTAATGTACTGAGCCCGCCGCCGTCAATCCCTTAGAAAACTGTTCTTCTCCACGTGCTTTGTGTTCTCAGCACCTGTTTCCTGCTTCTCCTTGCCATTAATGTTCGTGGAGGTAAAGAGCAGCTTTCTTTTTGTGCCTCCAGCTAGATATTTGCTCCTGGTGTGTTATTTTTGATGATACACAATACAAATCGTAAAAACAGGCGTTAAAACCCTCAGATTTACATGAATACCATTATTTTAAAGTGTCCACTGATGCGTCGCTACCCCCATGCAGTCACGTTTGTACAGAGAAACAAATGCAACCATAAATATGTTTATGCGAAATGTTTTGAAGGCAACATTGTTTGCTTGCGATGGATACGTACATATTGACTGGGATGGTTAGTCGAACAATATTGGTCCATTTTGAGTTTGTCAGCTTTGGAAAATAGTTGCTATGGGTTTTTATATATGTATATATGTATATATAACTAGAAAGTTTTGTGAATTAGTAGTAAATACTTGCTATTTGAAAATAAAAATCATGTCGTGAAATAAGTGTTTAATTCCACAGTTTTGTGTGCTGTCTAATTTGATGTGATTCAATTATTGTATACAAGGGGGTCCAAAAGTCCCATACGAATACACTAGCATACTAGTGAAAAATTATTTGTATTAATGTAATTGACAAACTTTCATTATATAATTGTCAGCATACCAGTTTGAGTGACGACAAGTTGAATTTCTGATTTGTGACGTTCCAGAGTATCTTGTGTATGTACTGAAAATGTATGATTATTTGATTAATTTCCTCTTAATTTTTGTCATAACATTTAGTTTTTCAAAATCCTAGAACATATAATAAAATAATATCCCAGATTTTCAATATCTAAAATGTATTTATTCAATTCATTTATTTATATAGTTTATACATTGCAGATTTTCAAAAGCAGCTTCACTATAACAAACAAGCAAATAAGTGTTAATGTTGCAAAATTCATCAAATATGAAATAATTTCAATATCAGCATTAAAGCAGCTCTACAGAAGACTGTAGTTTCATTATTCATTATTCATTTCATTTTTCAATTCAGTTAAATTCATTTTAGAACCCACTGTATGTATATATTATACTGACCGCCCCGCTCTCTTTCCCAAAGTAGGACTCAAAGTTATAAAGTATAAATATTTCAGACCGTTTTCCTCATTCTTTATCTGAGAATAGTGTTTGACAATATCTTTCCATTACTATTTAGAGAAAATCAAACAGAGCAAAGGAAAAAAAGCAGAGAAGACTTGAAGAACGGGCAGCTATGGATGCAGTTTGTGCAAAGGTGGAGGCAGCCAATAAGGTATGCTTTGAGAACATCTAAAAGAAACCTTTTCAAAATATGTGCACGTGTCTTCAAATTGCAGTGTTAATGTTCTTGCAGTAGAGAAATATTAACACAATGTGTCCCGTGGCTTGTTACAGCTTGAAGATCCTCTGTCTGCAATGCCTGTGTTCAAAAAGTATGACAGAAATGGGTACGCTATCCCTACGTTTCCCCTTTGACGGATGTCATATGCTGCCTCTAAACTGGTAAACGGATCATTTCATTTTCTGATATCCAATACTAATATTGTGAATATCTGAATCTGTCACAGGCTAAACCTGGAGATTGAGTGTAAACGGGTAACTGCATTGAGTCCAGATACAGTGGAGTGGGCCTATGAGTTGACTAGAGCCAACATGCAGACGCTGTAGGTATTGAGCAAGTCAACATGTGGGGTAATCCAGCATCCCATATTGTTACTGCTTTAGATGTTTATGATGTTTTATTTGTCCATTTTTAGTGTCTGGCATTTATTTTGTTCCTGCAGAGATTCTTAATGGATACTTGTTAGGTTTTGTATTCTATTGACATTCAGATACAGGTTTTGGGTTGAATGGAAGTCAGTTATTGCTATTTACCATTAAAGGTATAGTTCACCCAAAAATGAAAATTGTCATCATTTACTTTTAAATTATAAATAATTTTAGAACACTGAATTTATTTACTCACCCTCATGCCTTTCTAATGGCGCTTTTCCACTGCATGGTACGGCTCGGTACGGTTCACTTTTGGGGGGTTTTCCACTGGGTACAGTACCTGGTACTTTTTTTAGTACCACCTCGGTTGAGGTTCCAAGTGAACCGTACCGTTACCAAAACGTGACGTGTAAACTCTGCTGATCACAGATTGGCCGGAGAGAATCGTCAACTACCTGCGTCAATTAACTTGCGACACAAACGCAACAGAACCGCTAGATTTAAATCAGCACAGCCAGCGAAGGATCGAACGCAACTGTTTTGAACAAGCGCACCTTTTTTAACAACCAAAAAGTGGCTGTTACGTTGTCTGTTGAGGAAGTACAGACGTTCCTCTCGTTGATAGCAGAGGAGCGGATCCAGCGAGCTTGATGGGGCGACGCGGAATTAAAAAGTTTTTCAGGAGTCGCGGCGCAACTATAACGACATGTCAAGTCATGTCAAGTTTATTTGTACAGCGCTTTTCACGATACAAATCATTGCAAAGCAACTTTACAGCAAATTAAGTTTCTACAATATTTAGTGGTAGCTTATCAGTGGTGACTGTCAGTTAATGTACATATGGCAGAAATGTACGGAAAAATCAATTTAAGACATTTTGTCTAGTTCATGTGTACTTATTGGTACACAGAGCAGTTGAGATAAATCAGGCAGGTTATTTGTGAATCTGCCTTTGGTGGTTGGAACAATAGTTCTGCCCGGACGATAACGCAGAGACATATAGTTAATATCAGTAATACGCAGCATGCACGATACAAGGAAATGGTCAGTAACATCATTACTTTGAGGTACGATATCTACCGGAGTAACATCAATTCCATGCGATATAATTAAATCTAGCGTATGATTTAAACGATGAGTTGGCCCGGTGACGTTTTGCTTGACTCCAAAGGAGTTTATTAGGTCAGTAAACGCAAGTCCTAGTGCATCATTTGTATTATCAACGTGAATGTTAAAATCTCCAACAATTAGCGCTTTATCAACAGTAACCAATAGGTCTGAGAGGAAATCTGCAAATTCTTTTAGGAAATCTGTATATGGCCCATGTGAATAATCCCGCCCACTCAAAAGCGGTACTGAACTGCAGTGGAAACACAAACCGAGCCGTGCCGTGTTGTACCGTACTGAGCCGTGCCGAGCCGAGTCGTACCACGCAGTGGAAAAGCGCCATAAGACTCTATGACTGTTGAATGAAAGTCAGTGTGCTTCTTTAACACAGATAATACAAGGGATACAGGCCTGGAATGACATGAGGGCAAGTAAATGATGACAGAGTTGTCATTGTGGGTCAACTGTCCCTTTAAAACTGGAGGACATTTCTGCTGCTGGTCATTTTGCTATTTATGAAATATAGTTCCAGGAGAAATGTCAATTTGGGCAGTTTATAAGAAAATACATTTTTGTTCCATTATGTTTTGGCAGATATGAACAGAGTGAGTGGGGATGGAAGGAGAGGGAGAAAAGGGATGAGATGAAGGACGAGAGAGCATGGTATCTCCTGGCCCGTGATGCTGGCTCCACACCTGTAGCGTTTTCACACTTTCGATTTGATGTAGAGTGTGGAGATGAGGTTTTATATTGGTAATGTAGCTTTAAGTATTACTTATAGGACAGCTATGATTTTCTCTTTGGGGATTATCAAAAATCTGTTTACTTGTTCGGAATGTTTCAGTACCATATTGGTTACCGACTGATATTAGAATTTTTTTTATTTATTTATTGATATCGGACATTTAATTGTTCATGTTCACTTTTTTTACACCTTTGCATCATCTAACACATTTAAAGCTAATCTATAAAAAAACGATAATTTAATAAAATTTGTAGACAATCTAAACATGAATATCCTTTTTCATATTATATGTTATAATGTTGCAATACCTAAATTAACATGTATCATTTAAAATGATTGTTTTTAGTTTTTTTGTCTGATTTTAAATTTATTTAGTATAGTACTGAATTGATCAGTTATTGTCCTTAAAGGGATAGTTCACCCAAAAATAAATTCTGTCATTTGTTACTTACCCTCATGTCGTTCCAAACCCGTAAGACCTTCGATCATCTTCGGAAAACAAATTAAGATATTTTTGTTGAAATCTGAGAGCTTTCTGTCCCTCCATATACAGCAACGCAACTGGAATGTTCCCAGGCCAAGAAATGCAGTAAGGACATTGGTAAAACAATCCATGCTCAACCGTAATTGTGTCGTGGTACTCTCGAGAATGGCAGCAGACGGTAACTCTGGGGAGAAGAATTGTTGAATAAAGTTATTTTTATTCTCTTTGCGCACTAAATGTATTCTCGCAGCTTTGTAAAATTGTGGTTGAACCACTGATGTCACGTGGACTATTTCAATGATGTCTTACATTTCTGGGCCTGGGAACATTTCAGTTGTGTTGCTGTCTATGGGAGGGTCAGAAAGCTCTCGGATTTCATCAAAAATACCCTAATTTGTGTTCCGAAGATAAACGGAGGTCTTATAGGTTTGGAACGACACGAGGGTGAGTAATTAAAGACTATCCCTTTAACATGACAATAATTGGCTTATTAATATCTGCCATAATTGTAGTATTGTGCATGTCTATCTATCTGTCTACCTTCATTGCACATGTTGTATAAGTGGGAGTGCGTCCGTCTCGCGTGTTATTTTTGCAATGTGTGACTTGACTGATTCTGAGTCACACAAGACACATTCAAGAGAGTGCTGTTTGTATCTGACTGATTCTAATAATGTCTCCTCAGTTATGAAGCTCAGTTGGAGAGTAAAGTCAGGCGGAAAGGCCTGGGGAAATTTCTCATCCAAATCCTTCAGCTTATTGCCAACAGGTACCACAACAAACACAGCATTCCAAGAATGTATTCCTTGTGTAGCATTTTTGCCAAAACTCAAAACTCATCGCTCTCCTCTTGTTCTTGTGTCTTTCCTCAGCACGCAAATGAAAAAGGTCATGCTGACCGTATTTAAACACAACCACGGTGCTTACCAGTTCTTTAGGGAGGCTTTACAGTAAGTCCCATCCTTCTGGACTCATACGCATTCACCACTTCCTCACTGCATGAAATTCCTGTTCCTCTTCTGAATGCAGATTTATATACCGGCCTGTATAATCGACAGAACGCTGAATGATAGCAGTTGCCATAGCAACAAGTGCCTGCTCTGCTTATTCAGTGTTAAAATATGAATTCACCAATGGCTGTCCTCTTCCTTTTTAGGTTTGAGATTGACGAAATGTCACCCAGTATGTCCGGTTGCTGTGGAGATGACTGCACCTATGAGATTCTGAGCCGGAGAACAAAGTATGGCGAGGCCTCGGGACATGCGCATGGGGGCGGCCACTGTGGAGGCTGCTGCCATTAAGAGCGAGCCTTCCTCTGTTGTTTCAGAGCTTCCTCATCCTCATTCCCTCCCCTGCTCCATCACCCACAATCCCCTCTTAGAAAGCCCTCAAGACAGTCTCTCCTGCCCATAATCAGCAATGAAACCCCATCGATGCTTGATCTTTGTTTTTAACTTAAAAAGCTCATTCACCATTTCACATAGTAAGCGACGTTTTCAGTCTCAAAGGTTTGAATGATGACAAAATGGCAGTGAAGGCCACTGTGAGCCAAATGTAACCTTTTTCACCTCAGGTATCAGCATGGTGAGGCTCAACCGTATGTCTTTGCATTCTGTCCAGATGCAAAAAGAGCCTGCGGTTTTTTTTTTTTTCAACTGTTTTATTACCATAGTGAGTGAATGCAGGTGTTGGTCACAGTGGTTGTTACAGCTGTTTCACTCTATACCACTTTTCAGGGTAATTGTATTTTAACTAAAGGCTGATGTTTGTTTATTACTTCAAGAAAGAGAATACGACGATCTGTACTGTTTATAATTAGTAATCACTCAACCTAGACTGTCTCAGGTCATTCAACTTATAACAAAATGTTTTATAACAGCTGTATTTGGGAATTGGTGGATGATTATGTTGCTGTTTGATTTGATACAGGGGTTGGCATGTAAGCTATGGTGGACCCTTGGTGTAGAAATATACTTAAGGATTAAGTATATTTCCTTAAGATTTCATAACATTCTTTTATCATGTCATTACTGTATATTTCCATTTTTCTTCTTTGTATATAATCCGTTTGCCATGTACATTTTATTTGCCTTCAAAGACATTGGAAAAATGATATACAAAACAGTTTGAGAGATGAGTGTTCTGGGCTTGTGCTCTCTTGTTGAACTGAAACGAAAGGTCATTCCAGCTTTATGTGTTTGATTTGTATGCAACAAATAAAGGAATCTTGTTTGACTTATTGACGTTCAGTGGTGTTTAAACATTTGTTCAAATGAATCTTGCATAACCCATTCTTAAAGGTTTAACTTTTTTCCCAAAGGATTGGTAGATAAGTAAAAAAAAGAATACAAAAAAAAAAAGTGTGATGATAATCCAATCCCCACCCTTGGTCTTAATAAGAAAGGCTGCTTTGTTTGAGTCCTTTGAAGTTAACATTGAGGGACGGACAGAAGTAAAACATCAGTATTATGAGGACGCTTATTATTTTAAGCAGTGGTTAGTTAAGGGATATCAACTGCACTATTTACGATTACAGAGATTTTAGAAATATACACTCCTGTTATAAAGTTTGGGGTCATTTGGAAAGTCTTATGCTCACCAAGGCTGCATTTTTTTTAATCATAAATACAGTAAAACAGGCATCATGTGAAATATTATTAATAATAAATAAAAAAATAAAATGATGGTTTTCGGTTTTAATATATTTAAAATTAATTATTTGTGTGATTGTAAAGCTGAATGTTCAGCAGCCATTAGGCTACTCCAGTTTTCAGTCACATGATTCTTCAGAAACATTTTAATATGCTGCTTTCACAAAACATTTCTTATAAGTTTGTTTGTTTATTTATTTAGTGCAATTTTTTTGCAGTTTAATGCATCCTTGCCTAATAAAAGTATTAATTTCTTTGTTTTTAAATGAATTTGGCCTGTAGCATAGATAGACAGCAGCAACATTACTTGTATCCATGCTCTGCCAGAAATGCTCATGTGGAAATTAAATTAAATGAAATCAGCAAACTCAAAAAGATGTCTTTTAAACACTATAATGGCATTTCAAAATTAGTATATTCACTTTGATCGTTTTTTCACAGGTTAGAAAATAAAAAGTTGAAGAATCTGCTGTTTCACTAGTGTTTTAAGCAGTTCTTGTAGTGACGGTTAAAGGGTTCAAATGTCCTCGTATGTGATACAAAAGATAGTTGGCGGAACTATGGTTTATTTCCATGCTTCTGGATGGAGATCATTGACTGTGTTGCACAAAGCGGAAGTTGTTGGTAGTGCGCAGTGGATGAATGGAGTGGCTGTACATAGTGCACTAGTATGCACAGAGACGCATAACGCTATCTGTAATATACATAATGAAGCGACCGGAAAGGATTTATTAATCTCAGCTTTAAATTTATACACATCATTGACTGTAATATACATTAGTTAAACTCTGTTATCATAGGAAATTAATTTATAACGTTACTGCATTTAAACCTACTAAAATCAAGATACCTGATCTTATTGCCACTGGATGCACTTGGGAGTATTTGGGAATCTGCAAACCATCTCTTCTTTTTCTCGCTAAGCGATAGTCTTGGCTGTTATAATGCATTCACATGGGTTGTTGTCTCCATGATCACCGGTTTCCTCGTCCTCCATCAGAGTTGATTTCAGCATCAGCAGGTCATCATGAGAATGAGACTGAAGCTAAAGACTGTGTTTGTCCTGTACTTCATGGTGTCACTACTAGGACTCATCTATGCGCTGATGCAGCTGGGTAAGACTGGACTCAATGTCATCATTACCTTGTTCATTCAACCTCGAATCATTCATTTTTGAGCATGCCATTGATTCCTATGTGCAGGCCAGCGCTGTGACTGTAGAGATCATGCCAAGTCTAAAGATCAGCAGATCTCTCAGCTGAGAGGAGAGCTGCAGAAGCTGCAGGAACACATCAAAACATCACAGCTGTCTAAGAAGACTGATGTGCCCAGAATCTATGTGATAACACCCACATATGCAAGGTATGTAAGCAGCTTTTTTTAAAATTACAATAATGCAGGAATGTCTTTCATTCAGAATGTTTTGCAGAAGGACATTTAAGTGCTTGCAAGGCAGCAACTGAATAGATTTAAGATTTACGTTCTTTTAAACATATGACGCATACTGTAGCATGGCTTTTAAAACATATCCATTTCATTATGAGACTGAGTTTAGCATGCAAAAATCTCTTCAGCCAAGAGGTGTGAAATTTAATTACAACCAAATATGATTTGCATTTATAAAACTTACTTTAATTCACATTCAAAATATTTTAGCTCTGCAACAAACTGAACAAGGACAAAGAAAATTATTAATAAAACATAATAGAAAAAACAATCTGTGACTGCTTTACTGGAATGTTGTAATGCATGATATATGATATCAGGAGCTACGTGATGATGTAATTACCGGTATACCATGACATTAAAGAATCACTAAATTGTTTTGAACTGATTCTTAGCAACATACTGTTCAAAAGAAGTAAATTATGGAACCGAGTCAGATTTTCTCATTAATATCTCATCTCTCTTCAGTGTGCAGGTGTGTGTATATAAATGTAACAAAGCAAAGAGCAATCGCTATGCAAATACTGATTACAGTTACATTTGGAATGGTGAACATTTTAAGGGGCCGTGCACACAGAACACATTTTTGCATTCACTGTGCTGCTTTTGCATTGTTGTAAGCATGTTCTAGACAAACATGTTTGAGAGGTGCGTGGCCACAATTTAAATGCAACGAGGGAACAAATGAATAAGTTCTGGGAGAAATTTTTAATTCAATATTTTTATATAAATAGATTTTTGTCTGCATGTCATGTGCTGGGCTCCATTTTTTTGTATGCAAACATGTACTAAACAGACTTTGAGTCTTGTGTCTTTTGCAGTGTCTTGCACATGACATGCTGTTCTACAAAAAGTGGAGCTCAAGTAAAACTTAAAAAAAAAAATGCATGTCTAAGCCTTTTTTGTTCCACTGCCCTGCATCTCATTGCCTTTTTAATGAAAAAATGTGTTCTGTGTGTATGGCCCCTTAGAAATCGAAATATCTTCAAAATTAGGTTTAATGAAGTTTGCATGTTTTGTGGATAAGAATAAAAATAGTTTGAGGAATGTCATGAAATTGAATCCCGCTCTTTCTCCCTCTCCCTCCTCTCTCCAGACTGGTGCAGAAAGCTGAGCTCACTCGTTTGTCCCACACCTTCCTCCATGTTCCTCAGCTGCACTGGATCGTGGTGGAGGACGCTCCTCAGCCGACTCCGCTGGTCACAGACTTCCTGGCTGCATCTGGCTTGACCTACACCCATCTATACAAGCTGACCCCCAAAGACAGGAAGCTGCAGGAGGGAGATCCCAGCTGGCTGAAGCCCCGGGGGGCTGAGCAGAGGAATGAGGGTCTGCATTGGCTCAGGGAGATGGGCGCTGCTGCTAAAGGAAAGGAAGCGGCTGCCCTCGAGGAGGCTGTGGTGTACTTTGCTGATGATGACAACACATACAGCCTGCAGCTTTTTGAAGAGGTGAGGGGTTTTAATAGTTAAATGAACACTACCGTTCAAAAGTATGGGGTTGATAGGATTTTTAAAATGTTTTTGGGACAAAGTTTCTTATGCTCATCAAGGCTGCATTTATTTGATCAATAAAACAGTAATATTGTGAAATATTGTATTATTGATTGTGAATTTGTCAGTATGTTTTCAAATTTAATTCCTTTTTGATGGTGAAACTGAGTTTTCAGCAGCCATTAGTCCAGTCTTCAGTGTCACACAGTCCTTCAGAAATCATTCTAATATGCTGATCCCCAACATTGAAAACAGTTGTGCTGCCTAATATTTTTGTGGGAAGGTTCAAAAGAACAGCATTTTTTTAAAATAGAAAACTTTTGTAACATTATGCATATCTTTACGCTCACTTTTGATTTATATGTTGCATCCTTGCTGAGCAAATGTATTAATTTCTTTAAAAAAAAATCTTACTGACCCCAAACTTTTGAATGCTTGCGTGTTACGAGAAAAATGTTTTGACACACTTGAATGAATTTGTTTCTCAAAATATTTTGTTCAAAAGGCGTAAATGTTTTGCTTTATTGTCTAAAATTTGTTTTGTGGGAAAATGTTTGAATTTGTGAAAACTGAAAATTGTTTCTACAAATGTTTTTTTTTTTTTTACAATATTAACATTTTTATTAAAACAAATTAATTCACTAAAATGGTTTTATCACTCCATAATTTCTGTACCTCGATGTATCTTTCATACATTGAATGTTATTTAAAGTTTTTTTTCTAATCAATTCTATTTTTTCTGATATGTAGAAAAGGGTATTAATAAAATGTTTATTGCTAGATTTAAATGCTAAAGTTATACAGATGTAATTACATACTGCTTAGGAGGATTGCAGTGAAAACTGAGCATGAGATCATTTCACGAGTCATTACATGGGAGTTTTCTGGTTAAACCTCCAGATGGAGCTGTG